GCAGTGGAAGGACTCACTCTGGGAATGAAGGTGAAGGACTCACTCTGGGGCTGGTCTGGGCTTGATCCCGGGAGATTCAAGCAGCACAGCCCAGCCCAAGAGCTCACCCGCACAATGGCACTAGGCCTGAGCTTGGGCTGGATGGGAGGAGTAGAAGTTTCCAGAGAGAGCGAGAGAGAGAGGGGCTGTACCCTTTAAATTTTAATTACTCTTTCAGGTTCTCATGCTAGTGAGATAATACAAAGTCTGCACATGAGGATCTGATTTATTTCATCTACCAGTGTAGTTTCTAGCTGCATCCAGTTATCTACAAAAGCCTCAAATTGATGGGTTTATGGATGAATAATACTTAATTGTGTAAAAATTTCATATCATTTTTATCCATTCCTCATTTGATGGGCATTTGGGTAGTTTCCAAGACTTAGCTATGACAAATTATTCTTCAATAAACATGGATAAAAGGTATTGATGTATATTCCTGTGGTATGATGATTTTAGCTTTTGAGGAATCACTATACTGATTTCCATGATGGGTGTACCTAACTGCACTCCCACCAACAGTGGAGAAGGGGTATTTTCCCCCACATCCTCCTGGCATTTGTTGTTGGTTGACTTCTTGATGATAGCCATTCTTTCAGGCATAAGATGCCCTCTCAGCATTGTATTACTTTATATCTCTTGAATGACTAGTGATGTTGCATATGTAAAGACAAATGGTAGAATTGAAAAAGATATCTTTAGGTAGGTATGTAGAATAGTTTGGATAATTGTACTATTTCTGCTCATCGTTAGAAAAGAGCAGTTAATGTTTAAAATTTTCTTTTTATTCTTTTGAATCTCTAACAACTTTTTTTTAATCTTAAACCAATCTTCCACATTTATATCTGGTAGTCTGACCAACTAATTTGAAGACAGCATCACGTAATACAGGAACCATTGTTTAATTCCTATTACTTTGCTTAGTAAATTTATTTATTTATTTATTTATTTATTTATTTATTTATTTATTTGAACCAGGCATTCAACTCAGGCCCTTGCACTTGCCCAGGAAGTGCTTATTCTACTGAGCCATCTTTCCGGCCCAAATGTTGTTTTTTGTTTTTTTTTTCTGTACCAGGGATTGAACTCAGGACCCAGTGCTTGCCAGGCAGGTGTTTACTCTACTGAGCTATGTCCCTGCCTCTTTCATATTTTTTGATGCTATTCTTTTCTATCACTATTTTATATGTTTTAAAAAATTAAAAAGAAATAATACCTTTTTCTTCAAATCAGATTAAAGGAGAGAAACACAGGTATAAAGCCACACAATTAAGTGAAAACATGATATGAATTTGATTATTGATATATATAAAAACTAAATTTTATTTATTAAGAAAGAAGAAGCCACATCATGTATCTATCATTCTGAAATGATATGCTCTAAGGGAACATACAGAGTGTAAATATATAGTAACTTCTTGTACATATCAATCCACAGTATACTTTGTTTCAAAAATTAAAATGCTCCCATTTTATTTAGAATGAAGCAAAATAATAGAGGTAAATTTTTTTGTGGGAGTATGGGGAATAGAGCACAGAACCTCACAATTTCTGGGCAGGTACTGCACTGACAAGCAATGGCTCCAGCCCGCTGGAGACCGATGTTTGATGAATAGCTGGCAGACATTTTTTCCATTTAGTAGGCTGTCTTTTCACTATATTAATGATTTCCTTTGCTGTACAGAATTATTTAATTTGACAGGATCCCATTTGTTGATTCACAGAATGATGAAATTTGAAAATTTGTTTATATGTCATGATTATAGAGAAATCAAAGACTTTCATCTTTTACAGTAAATTATTTTCATACATACCTGTGTCATCATTCTTTGACTTCTTAGTACTTTTTAGTAGTGTATTCCTTCCATTATTTATATGCATTCTTTTGTTATGTTGAATATTTCTTAATTTACTTTTTGGATGTTTTTGGTTTTATATTTAAATTTTGAGATCCACCCTTGGATTTGTTAATTTACCCAGTGTATATGAATGCATATCTATTTGGAGTCAAAAAAAGAAAAAAAAACTCTGGCTGGGAATGTGTCATGGTGAGAGACATTGATTATTATTCATGGACATATACAGTGAAGGTCAGTACAAGAGATTGATACTACAAACTAGTGATTACTATAACATGTGATTCAGTAAAATCTGAATTTTTTTTAATAAGTGCTGAGTGAAATATTCATTTATCCATGTCAGGAAGAAGATATTTTTCTCTGCTCTATAGAAGTTTTAAGTTAAATATTGTCTAAAACATGTGGACCACATTTGAAGGAGAATAAACATTTGTAAAAGAAATTTCCCCAATGAAAAAATAATAATAATGCATTGTGTGTCAATTATGAAAAGAAGACAACATAAAGAATCATCTTAAAGAAGAAAATACAATCAATGTATTAAAATATTTTATCCTTAGTAGTTACATTGCTTCCAAAATGATGAGGCTTAGGCCTGGGATATAGCTCAGTGGCACACTATGTGCCTGGCAAGCTCAAAATCTTGAGTCCAATTTCTAGTAAAAAAAAAAAAAACAAAAAAAAACAAAAAAACTAAAGAAAAACAAATTATCAACTAGACTTTGTTAAAGAAGGGCATTATTTTCTGACTGTGCGTTAATTTCAAATATTTGGAAGTTAGCACACATTTAAAATCCTCCCTGTGAAATAAATACGTGTGCAGAAGAGTTGTAAACACACTTACTTTTAAGTGCATCCTGTTTTGATGTGAACCTGTGCACTGTGTGCTCTTTCCCAGGAGACTACGTGGTCATGTCAGTCTACTTTGACCTGAGCAGAAGGATGGGCTACTTCACCATCCAGACTTACATTCCCTGCACGCTCATCGTGGTCCTGTCTTGGGTATCTTTCTGGATCAATAAGGATGCTGTTCCAGCCAGAACATCTTTAGGTAAAAACAATTTCTTTGTTTTGCGGTATCCTTAGGTAAGTACCATATACAACAACTCTTTATTTGTCTTCCTAAAGAGATGTGCTTTAAATTCAGTCTGTAATTTCACAGAAATTCATTTGTTTTCTTTTAAATAAAGCCAGCATACTTTGAAACCAGTCTTCAATTTTTCTGGTTCTGCCCTTCTATCTTACTTACATCAGTAAATTTTTTTAATACATTTTAAAATAATTTTACTTTAACTACAAATTAAAACCTAATCGCTACAGAATTTTGTTTTAGTCTCTGGTCATTAACAGGCTGCAATTGCTCCTACCAGCTCATGAGAACAGTTTATCTTTTCCTACTTCTGTGTTTAGTTCTCCATAGATAGCTAGAAATCAGCCAGCATGGCAGTATTAACAACACAAGGATCCAAACATTAAAAGTCAGACTGTTCTGTCTTCTTTTGCCATTTATGACACATCTGCCAGAATACAACTATCAATTTGTTAATTGAAACATGCATACTTATTTTGGTGGTATTTGTTCTTGATAAAAGAGCCCTGCACATTATTTTGGAAAAACTTACTGACCTGTACCATTTTAGGAACAAAAGACTTTTAAGATGAGTTGAGATTTAGCTCAGTGCATTTTAGATATTAATGTTAGTATCAGATTTTCACATCTTTTCTTCAGCTTAGTAAGAGTCTTACATAGACTAAAACAAAGCCACAGGTCCCCAGGAACACTAAAACTTAGGTCAATGAATGAAATACTCATGCTACACAAACCTCAAAAGATTTACCCAAGTGTAAATCTAGGGAAAGATGAATTATAATACCACAATTGCCCCTTTATCCACTGCTGGATAAACATACCTTGCTAGTCTGCTAGTCCTTTGACTTAAAGAAGTGCTATCATGTAATTGTTACCAATATTGTGGGTTTTTTTTTCAAACTTGGGTTTTTGAACTTCAACAAATCTGGAATTCAAGTCACAAATAGTGTATGACATTGGAATGCCCATTATTCTTTAGAAATCACAAGTTTTCTTGTGTAAGACATGTTATTGTTTTTTGTATTTCACTTCTAGTGTTTGCTTAAAATTATCCTATGAAAAGTGCACTGAAGAGGGTAAAGCCTCTGAAATGACAGCCACTATAGTCTTTTTCTGATGAAATGAGTTGTATTAGGTTATTAAATGGAGGCCAGAAATGATTACGGGAGAAAACATCTTTTGCATATCTGTCCTCTTCCAAACCTAATTTAGTCTCCCATCTGTTTCACAATGAAGTTATTTTAATTTTTCCTGTTATACACAGTATTTTGTGCTACAAGTGCTATTCAGCAATTCAAATGTCTAATGCTATTCTGAAACAAACCAAAAATACATGGCACCTACTACTTAAGGTCCACTATTTGTCATTAGTGAATAGAATGTGTGGTGCTAAATGCTTGCTTGTTGGACTCTCAGGTCAGAACATAAATTGTTTTTCTTTCCAGTGTAGTGCTTACCACATAGCTGTTGCTTTAATGGTTATTTAATTGATATATATGCTTATGTATAGATGGAAAAATTGTATCAATGTATTGCAGTTAATGTTGTTCCCCAAAGGCATTTTAAATAAAAGATTTTATTTTTTTAATTTTCTTTTTTATTGAGAAATAAATATGAATGAGACAGTTTCACCACTGATTAATAGGACCGTTTTGGTGATCAATACATTGTACATTGTTATCTTCTTAGTGGTTATCCATAGTACAAGAAGCAGACAGGATATTCTGTCCAAACACTGTTGTTTTTGTTTTTTTTCAAACACTGTTAGTACACCTCTTTCTTCTCATTGAATTAAGCAAAAGTAGCTGTAAATTTATCCTATTTTGTAGATATAAATACAAAATGATCTTTCCTTTGTATCTAAAGGAAAGATTTTAATCTCTTCTCTCTTTTTTATGCATTTAGGACAGGGTCTACATGGCCTACAGGGTCTCACTACACAGATCAGACTTGTAGTGATTCTCCTGTTTTCAATCTCCCAAGAGCTGGGATTACAGATGCACTACCACACCCAGTCTTAATCACTGTCTCAGTGTGCCCCGGGGGTGGGGCCAGCACAGCTTGCCAGAAAATGAATCCTGGTCCCTGCATCTGCCTAAAAAGGTGCTTTAATCTGCTGAGCTATCTGGCTGGCCTTTAATCTCTTCTCTTTAAGCCTGGACTCCTGTTGGCCAAAATCTCTTCTATCACCATGTAGATACCTTGTTCAGTCACTAACTAGAAATTAGTCACTGGCAAAAGACTACGTTGGAAGAAAGGATCACAGTGATTTAAGGAAGGAGGGAGAGAACCCTGAATGTTATGTATGTACACCATTTGCTTGATTATTTACATCTCAGGCATGCACTTTTGAAAGCATTCTTATTGAAACTCAGCACTATGCTATGAGAACAAATATAATATGATTACTTAATTTGTCAAAAGCCTGGGCTGAGTATTAAGATTTTTTTTTTCAAAAAAAAAAAAAAAAAAGATAGTTCTTGTGCTCAGTCACCTTTTAGAATGCAGTTATAGTTTGTATCTTTATCTTGTGTTTACATTCAAGAGTTCAAGGAGATACCTGTGAGCAACAATGCCTGCAGACTTCAAGCTTATGGCTGAAGAATTCTTAGACCTGACTTGTCCTACGAATGAGCTAAAGAGGCCCTCATTGCTCAAAGGTGCCAGCTGTTTTCTGAGCATACCTGGCTGGCACATGGGGAACAGTTATTCTGAAGCCGAGAAAGTTTGTATGTAACTTGGTACACGGATGGTAGCTACTGAGGTTTAATATGCTATAGGGATGATGTATGAAAATTTAAAAATGGGAGTTTTTCACTCAAGTAATTTGAAGGGAGGTGACATTCTTGAAAAGCTTATTTTCTTAGCAAAAGTTACCATCTACCACAAGTAAGAAGAGTCTATTCTCTGTGGTCAGTAAAACTAGATTTAAAACCCATTTAAAGGTATCAAATTTTTGTTTGTTGAATCAGATAAAACTTTAACTTTTCTACTTCTTATCCTTTTTAATGGATTTAGTACAGGGTCTTCAGAGTGTCACTATACAGATCAGACTCATAGTGATCCTCCTGTTTCCAGCCTCCCAAACGCTGGGATTACAGGCACACATCACCATGCCCAGTCTCATTCACCATCTCAGGGTGCCCCAGGGGTGGGGCTGGCACGGCAAGCCAGGGATCAAACCCAGCCCCTGCACCTGCCTAAGCAGGCGCTTTAGTCCACTGAGCTATCTGGCCAGCCTTCTTCTTGTTATTCTTGGTGCCATAGTAATTCTATTCCCTGTGGCTCCAAGCAACATCCGAAAAATATTATAAACTTATTATTTAATATTACACATTAACTGGCAGTGATCATCTTCCACTCAGCCAAGTTAGTATATAATTTATGTGCCAGAATTTGATTGCACAAACCATCATGCCAGGTTTTCTAAAATGAACTCATCTGTATTATCCATTGTAAACACTGACATTTTAGTTTGTCATAGGTCAAGTGTGGCTAGAAGCCCAAATGTGAAATAAAGGTCATGGCTCCAATTTATTTTTTAAGTTTTTGATAAAAAATAGCTGTAATTAGGTACAACCGAGATCTCTAATATGAATTAGTGCATAGACAACCAAGTAAAGCTTTTTCAGTTTAAGAAGGGAACTTTATTTCTTACAATATATGATACCAATTATTAACTCTTACTGACGCTTTATTAAATATTAGCCTCGTGGATAGTTGTTGTTTGTGTGACCCATGGCCAGGAGCCCAACTTCCTTCTATTAGACTTCCCTACTAAAGGATTTGCCACCTGGCCAAATGGCGTTTAACTCTCACTTATATAGCAAAAGTATGGATTCCTGTTCTCAAATGGAGGTCTCTTTGACATTCACATGCATATCATTCATTCATTCTTTGCTTCTTATTTTCCTCTTACAACACATTCAGACCCAGCACTATGCTCAGCTTTAAGTTTACCATGGTCATGAGACACATGCCTGTTGTCACAAGAAGTGCAAAATGGAAAGAGAGATGAATCACTACACAGTCAGTAGGAAGGCCTTTGGCGTTTATCCGTAGAGTTCCCTTGATCACTTCTCTCTTTTCCTATAGCCTATTCTTTCCTGTCACCTTGTTTCAACTAGCACCCATTTTCATCCCTCGGTGAGATTTAATGACACCATTATGTACAGTGAAAACTCAACTGCTAAGCTAAGATGAAATGAACCAAAAGAGCCATATGCTTTTCGAAACATAGTTAAATGATTTAAAAATGGCTCTGACAAATAAGAGCCTGAGAGATTAAGAAGAAATATGACAACTTTATCTTCTCTTAATGCTTTTTCAACTGTTTTGATTATGCTTGCTGTTCTGAGCATATTCTGCCAATCACCCATACCTTAGAGAGAAATTGTTTGGTTCTCCCTTCCCGAATGATGCCATTTTTCTTCTCTGCAGTTTCTCTATGTTCTGTTCAATCTGACTAATTGTGGTGAGTTCCCCACATCTTCCATTGAGTCAGGATCATCTGATTATCTTGCAGGAGTCTCTTAGTTGTCAATAATAGTTAATGCATACTATTAAATGATGACATCTTTGTCATCTTTTTCCCCTAGAAAAAATTTACTACAAACTTGGTGATGGCATACAGAAGGATGTACTACTTCTGGACTGGACAGAGACACTGGAAGTCATAGGAAACGCAAAGTTAGAATTATAGAATATTACCAAAATTTGGCCTTTCAAGGCTAATACATTTATCAGTACATATTTAGTGCTCACCCACGTAGCTGATAGTTAGTACATAATAATGTTTTCAGAGAGAATATTCGAATTTTACCTTCTTTCCCAGGTACTGAGATTACTTGTCACAAGTCACAAAAGAAGTTTGGTTTCAGAAGAGACTAAGTCATCAACTGGCTGGTGCTATACCATTGTCCCTTGTTTTGTGCCTCCCTTTAGGTATCACCACTGTCCTTACAATGACCACCCTCAGTACCATCGCCCGCAAGTCTCTCCCCAAGGTCTCCTATGTTACTGCAATGGATCTTTTCGTATCTGTTTGCTTCATATTTGTCTTTTCTGCTCTGGTGGAGTATGGGACCCTACATTACTTTGTCAGCAATCGGAAGCCAAGCAAGGACAAAGACAAAAAGAAGAAAAACCCTGTATGTATTATTTCCCATTGCTATCATTGAGATTGTTATACAGAAGGACTACATAGGTTCGACTTGGTATTATTTTGTTAGCTTATCGGGATTCCAGGCTTTGTCCTTTAGGCTTCAAACTAAAAATAGGATGAGTGAGTTCCTGTCCTGTCATAAAGATAAATTTGTGGTCACCAGTTACTTGAGTCCTAATGTGACTACCTGCTGTCTTTACATTGTGGGGATTAAATTATTGCTGAAGAATGCATTGATATTCTATTTGCTATTATTCCAGGTGTTATTATTTTTCATCTTTCTGTACAACTTACTATAATATTTCAAATGGCTGATATTTTAAATTAAAATGTTCATCCAAGACTGGGAAGCCCCAAGAATCACCACACTTTGCTAATAACTTCATATGTGCATGTGTTGTGAGTATGTGTGTACATGTGTGTCAATACTAAAGGACTTCTATTGGCTCCATATTAGCATGCATGTTTTTAATTTTACAACAAATGGTTTATTATGGTGTAGGAAGTTACTTAACCTCCATGGATCTTTATTTTTGTATATATAAAATAAAATTATTATTAAAAATAAGCATACTATAAGATTTCTATGAGAAATGCAGTAATAGAGATAAACAATCAAAACAAAAAATACCATTTGAAAATCACAGAAAAATCCTAGATTTAGTCATTGGTGATGACAGTAGATTATACAGTGACCAACTTAGATTTCTTTCAGTGTCTCTACGATTTGGAAAAAGGTAGGATATTTTCGTTTATCTTGTTTAAACAGTAAGGGTTAGACAAAAATTTAAATGTCTAAGGAACTGTCTCCCCTCGTAAGAGTTGGAGAGATCTTGTAGCTATGATATTTCTACCTGATCACCCTGTGTGGCTCACAGGATCCTTCTGAGATACACGCCAATGTAGTGTTCATATATCCTGGCTTCATAACCTTGACTGACCTTTACTCTAAGACATGAAAGCCATGACACCAGCAAACTATCTGATTCATGCACTTTCTACCCTGAAACGGAAGGAAGGAATCTAGTTATTCCGAGGATATACCATGATGACATGGCTCCACAAGCCCGTATGAAATTCTGCAAATGGCACATGTTTATTTGACTATGAGACTTCGTAGCAGATAAAGAAAGACGTATAATTATGTTTGGTGATTAATAAAGGCAGAAAGGATTCTTCTTAATTCCCCAAGTGTTTACTATATTTTATGCTGCCCTTCCTTCGCCTGTCTGTTTGCCTTTTTTCATATTTTCTACCCTCATTTTACTTTCCTTGTTGCGCTATTTTTATTTGCCTTCCCTCCTTCACTTTCCATATCATCCTCTCCCAAGAAGATGGCTCTTTGGACACTTCACATTACTGCCTGCCAGCCATAATGAGGGTGTGAGGCCTGGCTTTCAGATGCCTGCTGAGGATTTCTTTAGAAAAAGTTCTTCTCTACCAGTAGTGTCATTGCCGAGTGGATTTGTTACAGAAATAGAAATAGTAGGATTTCTTAATCCAGAGTCATAGAAGTAGCAGAGATAAGAGAAGACAGGGAAAGAATATCAAAAAAGCAGGAAAATGAAATTACCATAAAATTTCTCCTGTTAAGCCAATTCATTAGTTTATAACAGCTAGTAAAAGCCTAAATGGTGAACAAGAAGTTAAATTTTCATTTTCCTGTGTAATAAATCTTGACTTATTTTGTCAAGATTGACTTCTTAAAGCTTTGTTGATGGCAATTAGAAAAAAAATTAGTAGTTCTTTTGTTTTTATATAGGGATATCAGACAAAGAAAGTATATTCACAATTGAACAAGATTCCTTTTGCCATCAGATAATTGTGGGATAATTTATTGACGATTTTTCTCTAATCACTAAGGTCCATTTTCCTGCTTTAGACATAAACTTTATCCAAAGCTCAGAGCTCTTCTTCTGGGTTCATGATTTCAGTTTGGTTTGACTACTATGTTTTCAAAATGTATTTTTAATTTATCTTATTTTGTCTCTTTTTTTCTGTTTCTCACTTCTTTTTATTAAAAAAAAAAAAAACAACAACGCTATTCTCTTTTCTGTCTACAAACCCAAAGCTTCTTCGGATGTTTTCCTTCAAGGTATAATGTCTTTGGAATGGGAATTCACTGCATGCCACTGCTGAATTTAAGTATCGATGCTTACATGGTGTTTTGTTTTTTTATGAGTAGACATTTAAGCGCTCTGCTAATGATAACATGTTCAAGACTGAGGAAGTTCTGTGAATTTCTAAAGTTTATTCAATAACTGTATACTAATTCACATAAATTTTGGTTTTACACCAAGCTCCAAAGCTATTAGCCTCATGATGTGTCATATGTAACAAGGGCCTTTCTAAATGTCAAAGTCAAATTGGACCCTCTCTTCTCAGAATTAAAATAAGATTCAATTTCACCGGATATCACTACCATATATACATTATCTCAAAACTTAATTTAACTCCGTAAATCCTCACTTAAAAAATTGAACATTAAATATTGCTTTGCAAATTTACTCTCCATTTTTCTGAGCAGCTCTTGTGAATTTTATAAGAAAATTCTGTCTTTAAAAGACTAAGTTAAAATATCCATCCTTTCATCCTATGACAATTATTAGCCTGTTACCTGTATGAAATACAGTGAAAGATTTCTACTTAATTCTGATAGTGGGTGAAGAGAAAAAAGGATTTGTTTGTACATTATCCAAAGCTAACTCAGACAAATTAAAAGTAAACAAATCCTTTAGTTTCACAGAAATTTTATTATTATTATGGAAGGAAATTTTAGATTAGCATATAGACAACTAGTACTAGCTTCTCTTCAATGGTAAAATGAGTTTGAAAATGACTTATATTCTTTTTTTAAATTTTCATACATGTGGAAGAAAATATTTCTGGCATTCTTAAGCTTAAAGCTGGAGAATGTTAGGCATAATATCATATTCTCTTCAAACTTAAGCCTTTGTAACATAAATTCTAGAAGCTTTAATGTTTATATTTATATATATATATATATATTTTACCATTTTCTATTAACATCATTTAACACATTTGCTGTGTGATAATGAGGTTTTCTATTTACCGACAAGTAAGCATGACATAAGATTTGCTTTCAAAACTAGATGGCTTTTTATTTCTGTTTCACTCACATGCAGTATCATTCAAAACCTTCATGTTAACCAATTTCACATCTAATAATCCTGAACAAGATTTCATGTAGTTTGATTTGAATCTTTAAACTTTGAGTTCTTTTGGTGTTCAATATTCTTGCTATAGCTACTAGCTTGATATTATTTTCAGCTGCACTGCTTAAGCTCAAACCTTGAAATCTGCAAATGTGCTATCCTTCTGAGTTCAATTTTATCATTGTAGATCACGGTGTCATAGCAATCTCCTGGTATCCATCTTCAGATTCATCATCACATTGGTGACCTTGTGGATAAGAGCAAAGATTTTCCAGATATACCTAACTGTGGTCCCTCTCCTTCCCTACCCTTGTCTCAGGCCCCGACCATTGATATCCGCCCAAGATCAGCAACCATTCAAATGAACAATGCCACCCACCTTCAAGAGAGGGATGAAGAATACGGGTATGAATGTCTGGACGGGAAGGACTGTGCCAGTTTCTTCTGCTGTTTTGAAGATTGCCGAACAGGAGCTTGGAGGCATGGGAGGATACATATCCGCATTGCTAAAATGGACTCATATGCTCGAATTTTCTTCCCCACTGCCTTCTGCTTGTTCAATCTGGTTTACTGGGTCTCTTATCTTTACCTGTGAAGAGAAATGGGTTTTATGGATGTGGGTCTTACTCTCTGAATCTCATGAAAGAAGGTGTGCTTTCTAAGTCCATTTAAAGAATCCCCTGCGTAGTCAGTGATGATCTGAGTTTGTTTTTATGTCATAACACCATAAATTGTATAACGTATTGTTTGTGCCCAACCCTCCATGAATTAGTGTAACTTGAACTTCCGTGTGTGCTGTGTTGCAAACCTGCGAGGCAAAGCAAAATGAGGGCAAGTATATTGAAACCAGGCAACATATTTTATAGTTATAGCTACTGACCTAGCGAAAGCCCTGGCTATTTATACAGTAGTGTTATTCATACCTGATTCATAGTGCAATTAGATGCAGATGACTGATACTACACCATTTGTTTATTTGGAGTCAAGTTGTGATAAAGTTGAACACAATAGAACACATCCCTCATTTGCAAAGAATCACAACCCAGTTTAAATATAAAAGACTAGTTTAGAAATCTATGCTGCCTTTTTCCCAAGATAGGAAGAAAATTTCCACGACATCACGTGTACAATGATGTAAATATTTCAGTAACACAGAATGCTTCAAGTTTAATGCATGCCTCTCTTTAGATCCAAAATAAATGGATTGAAGTTATCATCATAATGTACCGTCTTTTATTCCATGTCTTTGGGCTTAAAAACATTATGAATGTAATTACAAAGATTTGGATTAGGAACTTGAGGGAGCAATTTTCAATTTCTTCTCTTTCATGCATGAAGATTCAGGGTGGTTTTTTCTTTTTCCTTCTTTGACACACTACAAACTTTAAGTAAAATATAGGCTTAAAAATTGACACTTGCCAATGCTAACTAAACCCAGGTTCCTAAGTGGAGGATCAAGAAATGGTATCTGCTTGCTGCTATGTTGTTCTTCCTTGTAGGATGATAGACCTTGACGGAACTTACTCTCCATGAAGGTCTGCTGTTAGTGATCGTGAGTGCCTTGTGGGCAGGTTCTCTGTCATTTCTTCTTTGGGTTTTCAGCACTTTGAACTGTATGACACACACAGCACTCAGTAAAAAGTTGGGGTTCGGTTGCTCTCAATGCTTCTAGTGAGTCTCTCTGTGCTGGTTTTGAAAGAGGGAGGCATTCATTCCCACCGATCTTCGCAAGTGATGCTTGACTTACAGAAATAAACAGACAATCCAAAGAACTGAAGTCACTTTTTCAAATTAAAAGAATTGTTTTAGGAAGTCTGAACTTCTTTGAAAATAATATCTCTGTCCTGTGCTTGTGCACAGAAATGACTACAGGGCATAGACTTTGTTTGTTTTCCAGGTCAAGGTACGAATCAGTTCTGATGCACGCAAAATTCTGCTTGTGAATTCATGATGGACTTAAGCAAGATGTAAACCCGACTGATATTTAAAATGTAGTATTCTATACTCTAAAAAAATGTACTATGGATTAATTTAAAAATTGAAAGAACAAATGAATGGCTTATATGGAGGCCACTAGACATAGGACAAGGGCTTCTTTAGACTGTATTATAATCAGGTGAAGTGATTGTTACAGACTTGAAACATGGTGGCTTCAGCCCAATTTTCATTCACTCATCCTGAATCTTTAAATGCACTCTTCCTCAATCCTATTTTTCTGAAGCAGTATCCCTTGGCAGTTATTCTTCATGACAATCATTTCTCTAAGTCAGAACTTAATTGTAGCTAGTAGAACTTTACAGATCATTCAACAAGAGTAGAAAAGAAAGAACGGCTTCCTTGGCATAAAACCATGTAAAGTCATCTGGATGAATCTTGAAATACATTTAGCTGCCAATTTTACAAACTTTTAATGTATTAGTGCTCTAGTAGTTAACCTCAAATGTAAATAGAATGAATTATTTTCTTGCTTTCAATTGTCAAAATATTCAGTGTTGACTTTTGGGGAGAGTTGTTGGCAAATATCTATGATGATAAATATGTTGTTACTGTTAACTTGAAATGTGCTCTGTAATGAGGACACTAAAACGCTAGCTTTCCAATGTGTACATAGTATTGGCAAAAGGATATCTATGCTATATAATCTAATCCTTAATTATCAGCTGGTCCCTGTCTATGTATTTAAAAACCTTTTCACAAAGTGAATTGCCCAGCGTGTGGACTTTTACAATAAAAATTCTACATTCTAATCCATCGTGGCATCTCAGTGGTCTGCTTGGATGGTTTTTCTTAAGGACTGTGACTCTCTTTACTATCTCATTCCCACAAATTATATTTCAGTGAGCTTTGTATGCAAAAGTAATGATCATGATTCAAGAGGAGCTTCTCTTCCCTTTAAAAGCATTGAGATACCTTTGAGCATGAATAAGGTAGGTAGATATGTTAGAACATTTTCAGGGCTCATACTTTCTCTGTGCCAAGACTTTGGAGGAAGTTACAAATGTGAATGCTGCTGTTAGAGTTTTGACCCTAAATTTAGCACTATCTAATACTTTTCCAGTTGTCAAATCAACTTGGTAAGTGTCAAGTGGCAAGTGTCCAATCAACTTTAGAATATTCCATGTTGCCAGTTATAAATTGGGTGTAGTAATGTTGCCCGTATAGTGATGCCCAACAAGTGCTCAAAGAACTCTCTTTCCCTCCTGATGTCGCCTGTGCACAGGACCTCTGATCTTCCCACCCCATGGAATTAGCCCTCCTGAAAGCAATCAGTGATAGTCATGTTGCCTTACAGTGATGCAATCTCATGGTGTATCATTTCAAAGAAAATTTGCATCAAGATGTTTAACTAGCTTGAAAATCCAGGTGTCTTATTTAAAAGGAAAAAAAATGCTACATAGCAGATTCATTATTGCAAAGGCCTAAATAGCCCCTAAAATTATACCCCCACAAATTTCAAAATACATGGAATTCATTAGCCCAGCTCCAGAGAAAGCATCATATGTTCTGAAGTCTTTAAAATTACCTGAAGACTAAAACACTATGATCCTTCACTGGCAGAGCTGCCCTAGTCTTCCCCTGCCTGCCATTCCCGTGGCCAATTGTGGTTTCCTGTATCCAATTTAAAAAATTCTCACCTTACAGATACATAGAAAAACAGTTTTCACATAGGACTTCTCTGCTGTCTAACCTTCAGTGTATGTTCATGCATTTCTCCTTTTTTTGTCTCAATGTGATTCTGACTAGTAGCTATAGCATCTGTGATGAAGGTCAAATTAAATTAACAAAATGATATGGTCTTTGGAGATTATGTCAAGAGCCACTGTCTCTGTGCTTTGTCATTATGGATTTTTGTCAAGTGTGTAGGAGAAGAGAGGATGACCCAGAACAAAAGCTCTACTGCATTTGCAATATCCAGTAAACTGCTATAGATTGCACAGATTTTTAACAGCAAACTGAAAATTATATAAGTATTGCTGCTTTCCACAGTGCCTTGAATTTCAGGATGCAAAACTAAAATTTTAGAGTCCTTAATCTTTCTGTTAATACACCAGCACATGGCAGACTTGAGGAATCTTTACTTTGCCTTGACCTTGCTGTTTTTAATTGACATGAAAGCAATTTCAGAATGTCTAGAAACAAAGAAGAATGAATGGATTTTGAATTTCTTTTATTCTATATTACATAGGATGACTAATCTTAATCAAATTCATACCACTTTCAGAATTCTGTTTCCATACAGAGTCATCAGTCATCATCAAACTATCACACCTGGGGTAGGCCTTTGTCCCTCAGGCATGGAGCCATAGACAGCAGTTTCTCATGGCTGTTGTCTGCAGGTTCTTGCATTCTACAAAGGGATGGGGGATGATCTGACTATGATTAGTCTTTCCAAAATGAGCAGGGTGGTATTTCAATTATAAAATCTATTGTAATTTTCCTTTGCATATCAGATAATAAGACTTCCCTAAGTTTTGTTTGTATGACAAGAGGGAGAAGCAGGAACTCTTGCATAAGACTCTTTAGAGTCAATCCCCAAAACTATGTAATTTTCATTTGCCTCAATTTTCTCTCTGAAAAATGAAGCTAATGTTGGTATATTTCACATATTTTATTGTAAAAGGTAATTGTGTTAATGACACACAATAATTGAATATTAATAATTTACTTCAGAGCAGATATATAGTTTCAGAAAAATGGCATACAAAAAACATATTTACTGTGCTTAAGAATAATGATTATCATTTTTGGGCACTCTCTTTGGTCACAAAAAAAAGAGAAACTCTTGCTGCACCACAGATAGAATGAGAATTCCCCTAAATCTTCTTTTCCTGATGGGAGTCAATTTTCCATGGGAAAGTTAAGGGGTTTGACCCTTGTCCTTCAGGCAGGCATCTTTTTCTGTCTCTGTTCTACTCTTTATCCTGGCCTAATAGTCTTAGTATTTTGCATTCATGCTCTCTTGTGCTCTGCCACTTGATCATTCCTCAACTCCTCCAAAAAAGTTCTGTATTCTACAATTCCTTTCTGTTCTAAACAGACTCAACTATCTCCAATTAAGCTTCTTCCCAATCATTGATTTTTTTTCTGCTTTTACTAAACTATGCTATGCTATTTTATTTTATTTCTTTCAGTATTTAATATGATTTGTGCATGGTTTGATCCTAGGGTTACTTAATCTAAGCACTTAGCATTCAGCCAATTCTCTCAGTAAATAAAATTTAAATGAGCAATGCTGTGACTAGAATACCATATAAATAATTCACAATCTATTTGCATCCTAAATCAGGTTGTTTATCTTCTGGCTATCTCTCTGCTATATGAATTTGCCTCATAATTGCTTTTTTTTCTTTTCCATTACTTGTGTGTGTTATGGGTCTGGAATGAAGTCTTTTGTCAAATAAATTTTGATTAAGCACCTATCAGTTTAATTCAAAAGAAAACTTTCAGTAGACACCTCTGGCTTCACACAAGGCATAATGACAGCAATTTCAATATTCTTTGTCTTCAAGCATCCAGCATATGACAGCGAAGACAAAAAAAGAATGCAAATAAATGCAATGGAGCTGCACACAATAATTGTAGGTAGAAGGAATC